TGCTAGCTGACTGAGCATTTCCTGGAGACTTTCATCGCTTCTCTGATTGTTTTTGTATATGTTGATGTCGTCTGGCAGGCCCGTCAGTCCATTCAGTCCCCCTAAGACACTAAGCATTTCAAGCTGCTGAATTCTGGCAGAATATAAATGCCCAAGGGTAGTCTGAAGAACTGGATCAGTCAAAATTAAGTAATGAATGACGTAAACTCACTAGACTATTCGAAGAAGAGAGCCACTTGCCAGTAGCCTTCATGTGTGTCTGAGTGACTGAAGACTATTACCCACTAGTTTGGCAAGGCATTCATTAACTGTAGGCATCACCAAGCATTCGCTAACGTTCTGCTGGTTTAGGTGGCCATAGCCAATGCAACCTCAGGTCATTGTTCTTTTCCTAGATACTAACATCGGGATGCGCCACTCTGTCGCTTGTTTCATCATCTTTATGATGCCTAAATTTTCTCTTCTTTTTAGTTCCGTCTCGACAAGAAGAAAAAGAGAAATGGGCACACACCTTCGGTAGCGGACTGCATAGGGCTTAGTGTCAGTGGTCACTTTGATGTGGTGTGTGGTCTGCATTGATCCTAGTCCATATGTTAGGTTTGGTTATGTGCTGGAATGTCAGGGATGTCACACTTGTGTTTCTGCCAACTGCACTGGCTGCAGTTACTGAATTACTTGACGACTGAGAAGAGCTTCTATCAGCCATTTGATGATCAAAACCTTCTCTTCTAGTCTTGCGTCTCGCCATTCCATGGTGACCCCAAGTAGCTTTTTGTGTCAATTGACACTTGACTTGGGTCTGTCAGCACCTGTTTTGTTGTTTCTAAATGCTAAAGATGTCCTTGTAGTGGCCTTAAACTGCCACTGCAGTGACATTGGCACCTCTGTCAACGGCGCATATTAGAAATGTGCTATTCATCAATGCGCTCACTTTCCGAAGCTTATTAGACGCTGTTGTTCGCACCTCATCGAGATTCCACTGTTCTGTGCAGTGTCTTCACTCAGATGAACGGTTGAGCATGTCCCTATTGCGCACACTTCAGAAGCAGCCTGTTGCGTCGTGGCATTTTTCACACAGCTATTGGCCGCTTTGGCCACTGCTGGACACTGTGCTTTTGTGTGGTTGCTGGCTTCACCATACCACCAACAGCGTCCGGCATCGTTGCGTTTTGTGGTGAATAGATGGCCAAAAGGTGCTTGAGACAGTGCTTTTGTTTCTTTATGGATGTCCGTTCTGTAGCCTGACTTTATGACTTCATCGCCAGCAACATCAGAGTTCTCCTTGTAGCGAATTTCGCTTGGCTGCTTCACCACCTCATCGGAGTTTTTGGTCTATTTTGCCACTGACTGCAGCGTCACTTTGGAATTCAGCTCGTATCGCTCAGTCCGATGTCCAACAGTACGTCCAAGAGACTGTCGCAGATGAGCAAATTATTGAGTTAACCGTATTCGCAAGCCTTTCTCACTTTTAGTAAATCCCTGATAAACGCTTCGACCGGTTCATTGGGTTGTGGTGCACGGCAGTTGAACCTTCTCCTATCGCAGATTACGTTCGTACATAGCATGAAGTGCTCCCCTAACTTCAGTTTGATGGCAGTGTAGTTTACCATTTCATCGCCAACTATTCAACTCCGTATTTTCGTCCCGAAGGTCAAATGAACACACAAACCAGTAACGTTCTCGTCGAGCAATCCAGTACTCTAAATCCATCCGGTCCTAGAAACCAACCCTGTCAGGCTGCTAAATGGCGGAATAAATGAAGGAATTCCCGCCATTTTGCTGCTGCTGTGCGGCGTTTTCTTCCCACTTGTCGGATACGCTCGGAGCCGATTGCTTCGCGGATGCTCAACGCTTGATAGTTTGTGCTGTGTAGTTCACTGGGCAGTTGGCGTCATCACTGCCACCATATTGCAACCGATCGCTGATACGCAGTCATTACAATGGATATTTACAGAACCCTGAACTATATCCCGGCGTGGTAGGTCCGCCAGGAAACAGTACGCACGCGGTGACTTCGCGCTCGAAATTTCTTGTCTATGCGTGAAGTCCCAATGCTGCCTTTCCTTCATGCCACAGGCACAGCTCTCTGTGAGCCTGCTACGTGCCGTCACTGTAGTCGTTGGTTCACGAGTATATCTGGCGATTCCAAAGCAATTAAAAGTGCAACCGATATGTATAAAAGCACTACGTTAGGACTTGTCCGTTGAGGAAAAGTAGGGGAAGGTTTTCTTTATTGCTGTTATTTCTCTCTTTATTGGTCTGACACTACTTATGAACTTCTCTGCATATTACACTATTACAATTCCTTCGATTAGCCACACAAGACAACGAAAAATATGCAAAACTCAAACGTCAAAGAAACACACAAATATGGCAAAATAATTCTGTTTCCATCAATGAAAAACCATACTCTATAGAACTGAAGGCGTTTTCAAGGATAACAAATGTCATTCGGTGCCTGAACAGCGCTTGTGATGGATGAAGTATTGAATACATGTTTGTTCACTTAAAACTGAGAATATAAAAGATAACGTTTCAATGATAATCAAAGTAAACCATGGACTACTAGTAAATATTCAATACCAGTTTTGATTCCCTGTAAATAGTATTACCTGTCAAGTTTCACTGAAGCTGCACAGTCGCGTGCTCTTTCGCGAGAAAGCATCTTGGTTATTGCAGCTTCAGCTTCTGGATCACCCACGTATCGCATGCCGTCAGCTGTAGCGTGCCGTAATGCCTCCACCATAACGTGTTCGAACTGACCCGGAAGTTCTTGTAATGCTGCAAGCAGGTTACGAAGTGAGATTCACGTTTTGCGTACAGCGCTGTATAGTAATTCATGACTACTTGCGTGTAATTACGAGTTCTTCGCAGTGCGGATTTAAAAAAACTCTGATATCATATCTGTAAACGAGAAGGTTTATTGCGATAACTCCGCATTCTGCGGCCTTCTCGACTGATCCGACGCTGGAACAATGCAAACGTTAGGTATTATGTAGCTCACTCTTTTTGAACAAATAATACTCACAGTGCCTACGGAATTTCACAAAGCCAAAAAACAGATTTTTAGGCAGAAGAATCAAGCTTTTTTTAAAGTAATATATCTTTTTTCATTTCGCGATGCTGCATGCTGACAAATATCTTTATACGAAAAGCTTTTCTTCGTATTCCGTACATCGAGCTATCTGAGTTCCAGCATATGTCTCGGAACAATCGCCCTTATTTGGGAGCTTTCCTTTACCCATAACACGCTACGAACGGGCTGTGCACAATTTAAATTTATTTAAATAATTTATTTATTTTATTTATTTAATAAACCATTTATTTTGCTTTGCAAGTGCGCGAATTCTGCATCTTTCGTAACTTTTTACGGCTGTCGTAATAAAATATGGATACTTTGGATGCAATGCAGTCGAACCCCCTTGTAATTATAATGGTTGCAACAACATATATTAGCTATAACTGTCAGAAGCTGCTGTACAATTAACTTTTGCGTGTTTTTTGTGGTAAAACAACCCACCTGCATCACTGATTGAATCCGACATTACTGATTACAACAATGAATTCGGAATGTTGTGTGTCCGTGCTCAAATTAACGAAAGAAAGGTGGAAACGAAAAATTCAAGCCGCTGAATTCCTGCATGCAACCGCCTCGTCCTCCAGCGCTCATTCGTATGCACGATATGCTTCACCGAAGAGAGGTCGGGCGTTGCCGCAAAGCGGACTTTTGGAGTCCGGCATTGGCGTGTGTGCGGCGGTCGATTCTCGGTAAAGCATTCATACTTCGAAAACTTTCAGCGTCCAAAGCTTCACACTTTCTCGTACAGTAGCTCGATGAGGCATGCGCTGGGGTGCGAAAGCGGCTGAACTATCAAGCATGTCCAAAAATTCGGCAGCCTCGAATTCTCCTCACCGATGTCTGTTTTCAAATTCATTATGGTATGACGTCCACTTACTTCGCTTTTTTTCCAGCAACTGGCTTATAGCAATACACGAAGACCGATTTCCCGGACGCACGAAATTCCGGGCATGCCCGGTTTCGCTGACTCACCTGTGGCACCGTCAAGTTCCCCGTAAAGTCAATGTATTAAAAAGTCCAAAACTCTGGACCCTCATAGCCTTTGGCGTTCGATTTCCTTTACTTCTTACTGTTAACCGCCGATTCAAAGTCACCACCGACGCCGCCATTTTGGTTGTTTTCATATCCTTGCGCCGCCAACCACCGCACCGCACCGCGTCTGCCGTAAGCTCGAAACCACACGTTTTAATCCCTTGCCAGCCGTAGCTTAGCGGCTTAGCCAAGCCAAACCTCACTGTGTTCGTTCACGTGTTGTTTTTTCAGCTCTGCAGTCGTGTCTGCGGTTGATCGTTTGCTGCTGCGCGCTATCTTCAGTGATCACGTTTCCCGACCTTTAGCATCCACCGAGTTTCTAGCTTTTTCGTGCTGCGCTTTTTGTCGAGTGGATTCGCCATTTACAGCGATGGCACCGACTGCTCTTTTGTCTTCGTCCATACCTTCGAAGCGCACAAAGCTTCCTCGTAGGCTCACGATGGAGAAGAAAGTCGGTCGCGGCCAGAGGTGAGGAGGGAGTTCAGAATTTCGAAGCTAACTATCAAAAAGCAAGGCGAGGATCTTGTAAGTGGCTGCCTAATAAATCGGGGCTGGAAAAAAGAATGCGAGCCGGGGTGTTTACTCAAAACTCAATGAAGCACTCGTCGTGCGTCTCAGTGCCATGATCGCTAAGAAAATCGCGGTGTCAGGCGACATCCCGAAGCAGAAGGCGGAGGTTTTCGTGCTTCATATTGGCGTAAAGGAATCAGCGACTGGTGGCTTCGCTATTTCAAGAGCCGCAATGACTTGAAGTTCAAGAAGATGTGCGGGGGAAGTGGTGTCGTCGACGATTTCATTGTCGCCGAATATCAGGATGGAAAGCTACAGTCCTTCGGCAGTTTCAACCTAATGAGATTTCTACTGCGACAAAACTGGACTGTTCTACATGATGCCGCCAGAGAAAATGCTTGCATTTGCTGGCGACCCCTGTCACTGCGGCAAACACATCAAGGAGCGGCTCATTGTCCTCGTTGGCAGCCACAGGTTAGGCAGCGAGAAGCTTCCGTTACTAGTAACAGGCAAGTCAAAGCATCCAAGATGTTTCGAGGGGTCAGTGCCGCAGCCTGTTCTCTATGAAGCTAACAAGAAGGCGTGGGTAACGCAGCAGTTATTCGAAGCGCACGTGCGCAAGCGATGCAGAAGGTTCAAGCAGCAAAATCGAAGAGTCCTGCTCTTTGTGGATAACTTCGCTGCGCATAGCCACATCAAGGACCTAAAGGCTATACAAAGTGAGTTTCGGTCACCGAACACCACAGCAATCCTGCAGCCGATGAACCGAGGCGGAATTCGGAACATGAAGGAATATTACAAATCACACGTTTTCAGCCGCATGGTGCTCTGCTCCGACAGCGGGAAAAGCTACGCTGTTAACCTGAGATCTCCCGTCAGCATGATAGCGAAATCGTGGAAGGCGGTTACTCAAGGGACTCTGCTGAACTTTTGTCGCCACGCGGACTTCACACTTGACTCCGAGATGGCCGTCTCACTCCAAGTGGACAGCGTGTGTGACGAACTTCCATTCACGGATGTTGCCTTCGACAATCTGCGCGCTACCGGCGTGTCGGTTCCAGCCGAGATAACTTTTTAGGGCTTCGCCAACGCTGACAAAGACCTTGAGCTACGTGCTGACTTGACCGATGACGAAATTTATTGTCAAAGTACGGAGGATTCCGACAACTCCGACACCGAGAATGAATAGCCATCTTCTACACAGCCAACGAGCTCGGAGTTGACGCGAGCACTGAAACACTGCCATGGGTGTACAGCGGCAACATGACGTTGACTGAAATTGAGGCAGACATGATGGCGGGCAAGCGGAACGCCGTTCAAAAGAAAATAGGCGACTTCTTTGAGCCCAAGCGCTAGTTTATAGAGGTAGTTCCGGCCACGTCGCATGTTTTTTATATATAAACGGTTTTTTTTTTCAGAGCCACCTAAAGGTCGCATTGCCTGAATTGCGATGGGAATCTTGTACTCCGTCCGTTACCCTCTCCGTCAGCAAAAATACCTACAAAGGAGGTGCGCTATCACGACATAAGTTTTTCCGGACTGCCTGATTTTCCGGACATTTTCGCGGTCCCTTGAAGGTCCGGGAAATCGGACGTCACCTGTATTTGGTTATAGCAACGAAGTTTTCGTAGCACCTAGTAATTTTGTAAGAGGGTTCAACTGCATTATAGAATTATCACACGTGAATTCGTTTTCTGTAAGTAAAGGTATAAGCATACTGCACCTGCTAGATCAAAACTTTCGAGGATATTAAGTGCCTCAAGCATTACAGCGCCATGAGTGGGATGTGGTGTTGTGTGCACAGTGACATCTCCGCGATATGTCGTTTCCAAGGGCTTTACCAGCACGGGCTCCGATGAGGCCAGATGGTCGGAAAGGTCCTTGGTTGACAAGACACCACCCGCACAGTGCACGGCTTCTACCATGCATTCTGCCACGGAGCCTTCGTATATCGCACGTGGTCCCTCAGCGGCAATCCTCTGAGGTTATATGATAGAGAATGATGCCATAAGATGATACCTTGAGGAAGCGTTTCCTAATGGCGCAACATGTAAGACTGAGACAGTCGGATATGTAAAAGAAACTAAGGGTTAGTCTGAGCACAACAACAAATCTAGAACACAGTAATTGCTTTTCGCTAAAGCAGCGACTTCATCCTCGAGGCGACAACGACATGACAGATGCCATGTGAGGTTACAGCTGCACAATAAGAAACTAGCAATGTTTAAAAGACATACCTCCTTCTCAAGAGGAAAACATTATTGTGAAACATTTGATCACTGTTCACAGAAAGTATTTGGATAATTCATTGCACTTGTTATGCTATTACACTCGCTGTCATTCTTACCAGGTCAAATTAGTAGCGGTCAAAGATACCAGCCGTGATATTCACGTTAATACACATCAATGAGAACGCACTTCTGATTAGATGTGCTAGGTCAAAAAACATTTATTTTTGACCCAACGGGATTAGGTCAGGGTTTTATAATAACCAGAGCATGAGTGTTCCCTGTTCTAGGCTTTCAACTCTGCCAAATAATTAAAAAATTAAAGACGCACGAGCTTCGCCGTCAACAGCAGAACGTGATAATTTATTCAGGCCCCGTTCAAACCGGCTTAAACCGTGCCTATAGGACAGAAGCGTTTGCGCCAGTAGCATTCGTCCTTTAAAACTATCCTAGAATCCCTACTCCAAGTTCAGTTATGATGTGTCCGCTGCGCCATAATTCCTCTTAATGCGTAGAGGGCACTACGGATGTGTAGAGCCCCCTACGCGTCTGTAAAGTGCTATTCGCACCTGCGCAGCTGCACACTTTGTAAGGGGTGTTCAGCTTTATGCCACTAACTGGTAGTGCTAGTCGCGTGTTATTACACCTGCTTATATTCTAGAACTCTGCTATGATATGCGTTAAGCTAATTCTTCCCACTACAGGACATTTTTATGGTGCCTTTTGCGAAACCACTGCAACCACTGGCATGAATTTATTATACAACACCTGGTTGCATCACAGAATGCCCGTGTCCAAATCATACTTTCCTAATCTTTAATAAAACTTTATTGCAGATTTGTTAGCTTTACACTCTTAGAAGACTTGATTTTAAGCTCATAAACAAGGACCCCATTGACAACTTCAATATCATGATTTTTCTTAACGAGCTCTTGAATGCTAATGCGTTAAATTAATAAACTTCGACAAGCTCAATGCGCCGGGCTCCGGTTTGCTTCTACAGTTCTCTGGCAATACCGGAGAGAGAAAGCGAGAATTTACTAGACGGCAGAGAGGTCGGCCTGAGTACCCGGCTGGAGCTAGTTCGCTCTAGCCTGATACTCTACATAGGGGATGAAAGAAGGAGGAAGGGAAGAGAGATGAAGGATGATGATAGGGACAAGAAGAGGTCATGCGTACAGTAATCACTTAGCATAGCACCCTACAGTCTAGTATCTAGTCAAGTGCTTTTAACTTATTGAGTAGCAACTGGTGCCTCATATTCTCTGTTTCAGCTTACCTGACTAAACGTTGCAACGCTGTTACAAGGGTTTGAATATGTTTGCTCGAAGCATGTTTCTCTCCGTAAGAAAGAACATTTGTCTAATACAAGTACCTTGGAGGCCTTACTAAGATGATGTGATTATTCACAATTTACCTTGCAACGTGAAGATGAAACAGAGGTTGGCGCTTTTTTATTATATTAAATTCTGTGCAATGAATGTATCCTGAGCCCTTTCAAAGAATATATTGCACGTAATATTTAGGTTGTACATATATATTCTCTTAACGCCCCCACTACTATTATGTAGGGTGGCCTTATACTATAAACGCAGGTGCAAAAGTGAGCACTGCTAAACCACGGTGCATCAGCAGAAGGTATACATAGGCAAAAAGTGTGCAATGAGAACTTTTAAGCAAATTGACTCATGAATAATAAATAATCCCGCATTCATGAAAGGCTCCCTCAGCCTCCGAATGTGCTTGAACGAATCACCAAATATTTACCGTTCTCTGCTCCGAAATCTGCTTATGCCACCCGAAATTCAAGAGATATCCACCTTCTGAGTGCCAATGAATAGTTCAGGTGGCCTATGCGCGCGCCCAGAAGTGAAACACTCTTGATACTAGCGTATTGTTGTATTCTTAGACCCCTGAAAGGGTTTTTAGTCGTTGAAGCAGCGTTTAGGTTTTCATCACTCAAATTAATTTCATAAATGCCGTCTGCAATTCACAAGGATGTGCAAATGCATCTTTGTGAAGCCTGCCCGTAAACAGGACTCTTTTTTTGCGGTGTGCGAGGGGACATTTGTCGAACACTGACGATTTTTGAAAAAACAACCATTTTCGTTATTTTTCATAAATCACCTCTGTGTATGATAATTTCGGGGGCCTGGGAAAGGTTACGGCTGTTAGGGCACTACCCTCGCAACGGGCCTCTTATGGAGCAAGGAGCGGTAACTTCTAAGTCCTATGGTGCCGAAGATCTGTGACGAAACGTTGATTAACTGATTGATTGATATGAGATGTATAACGTCCCAAAACCACCATATGATTATGAGAGACCCGTATTAGAGGGCTCTGGAAATTTCGACCCCCTGAGGTTTTTCAACGTGCACCCAAATCTGAGCCAACGGGTCTACACCTTCTCCACCTCTATCGGAAATGCAGCCGCCGCAGCTGCTATTTGATCTCGCGACCTGCGGGTCAGCAGGTCGCGAGATCAAATCGTGAGACACACCTTAGGCATTACACTATCGCGGCGGGGCTGTGGTGAAACATCGCCGTTTCTTTTGTAGTAGGAGCTTCGTGGAAGATTCATAGTTACCACTTTTGTCCTTCACGTTCTTGATACAGTGAGGCCTCTTCCTGAAACGCATAAAAGCTTTCATCGGCCTCACGAACGCAAACAATCGGAATCTGTCCTTTATGCTTTACGCATCCATAGACCAGCGTTACAAGCACATTAAGAAGTGCTTGACGAAACTTTTTTATGAAGTATCGAAGCAAAACAACGGGTCTTTCAATATTGCTACGTGCATGCATACTCAGATTCTAGGGGGCGACGTGCGTGTGTGCCTGACGAGGAAGACGAAGGGTGGTTGGTCTCCGCTCGCTCGCTGGTGAACTGGTCACGCCATTACCGCTGGTTTCAAATACATCTAATCCACAGCCTCGTCGATACGGCGTCTCTGTTTTTCGTAACCTACTTGGTGGAGGTGGGTCATTCCCCGTCCTTACCACGAAGCTTCGCAGTGGCCGCACCGTTCAGTCTTTGGCCATGGCTACCAATAACAACACCCCATCAGCGTCTCCATCTGTAGCTCCAGCCACCACATACCTGGTGATGCCCCACCCCAGTGATCCTGGTACATTATCCGCACAACCTGGGCTTGGCGTTGACTATTGGCTCCGTATGTACGGGCGTGTTAGCCAAACACACCGATGGGACCTTACAATGATGCTCGCCAACGTAATATTTTACTTGGACGGCACCCCACGTGTTTGGTTCACCGCCCTTTAGACCGAGCTCACCAGCCGGGATATCTACAAGGAATGACTACGCGAACTTTTTGGTGACCTGTACGGTCGCCAAATGGAAGCGTGAAAAGAACTTTCCACTCGTGCGCAGCGCTCAACTGAGTAGTATGTCGCGTACATACAGAACGCGCTCGCGTTGTGCCGGAATGTGGACGAGCAATTGACAGAGCGTGACAAGGTGGGCCACATTCTCAAGAGCATCGTGGACGACGCCTTCAACTTGCTCATGTATACCAACGTCACGACAGTAGATATGATTACTAAGGAATGCCGCTGCTTCGAAATGGCCAAAAGCCGCCGTGTTCTGCCTCAGTTTACGCGGCTACGAAAAACGGCTGTTACATCAACCTGCACTGATCTCGGTTACAAAGCACCCATGCAGGACAGTGTGAAACGCATAGTTCGACGGGAGCTTGAGGCGCAAAGTCCTGCACCATTTCCTCCACATCCGCTCGACCATGGCGTCACACAAACACCTCTCGCAGTCTCCGTTATTCAAGCCGTCGTGAGGAAGAAAATTGCAAAGCTCGGTATTACTGTGGCCTGCTCT